GGTCACGCTCTCCGCGAAAGGAGGAAAAACACACCAGAAACCCTCCCCAGGGCATTCCTGGCGAGAACCCATCGCTCAGCCCGTCTCCCCGCATCCACGGCGTCCCTGGCGGTCACCGTGGCAACGGGAGGCTGTCACCGCGGGATCAGGGCCCATCCATGGACTGGACCTGGGTTTCACCCTCCCGGGTCCCAGAGACGCCCCGAAGGCAGGGAGCGGAGGCCACGCCCTCCCTGCTCCCTGGGGCTTGACAGGGGGCCTCAGGCCACGCCCCCACCCAACCGGACTCAAAGGAGGACCTCAAGGCCACGCCCCCACCCAACAGGACTCAGTGGAGGACCTCAAGGCCACGCCCCCCATCCAACAGGACTCAGTGGAGGACCTCAGGCCACGCCCCCCACCCAACAGGACTCAGTGGAGGACCTCAGGCCACGCCCCCCACCCAACAGGACTCAGTGGAGGACCTCAAGGCCACGCCCCCCATCCAACAGGACTCAGTGGAGGACCTCAGGCCACGCCCCCCACCCAACAGGACTCAGTGGAGGACCTCAAGGCTCGCCCCTGCCCCAGTCTGGGCTGGGACCTCAGGCCACGCCCCCTGCCTGCTAGGGCTTGACAGGGTGGGACTGGCCGGGCCTGGGTGTACCCCCATGGGAGTGGCTGGGCGGGTCAGGGCCTCACGTGACTTTTTGGCGCATGTGGGTGGGCGGGACTGGACTCTGAGCCCCAGGCTCTGACAGGAGGCAGGCTTCCATATACATTTTTACTGACTTGCTTTAACCTCTGACACTTCTCTTATAGTCAGTGACTTCCGCTAATGAATCCCCTTTAAACGGGCACGGATTTCGAAGTCACTAGCGCTGACGTGGTGCGATGCGATATGTTCGCTATCTCGCTGTGTCGCTCCTTCCGAGGACCCACGCCCTCTCTGAGCAGCCCTCACACGCGCACAGACCTGGGAAACGGGGTCCCGGAAGGGCCTGCCTCCTGGGCCGGCACCCGCCCATCACCGGGAAGACAGGGGGATGTGTAGCTCGCGATGTTTCTCTTGAAACTACCGTGTTTTCTCTGATGACAAAATCCACAAAACCTTTAACCGGTTCGTGGTTCATCCCCACGTTTAACTAACTGGTTGAGAGTTAATTTGAATGTTTACCCGGTTGAGAGTTCGTCCGAATGTCTAACCGGTTCATGGTTAACCCGCCCGTTTAACCGGGGGCCTCGCGGACACCGCTGACCAGACCGGCCCATCGGGACCCGGGGCCGCCCACGCCACCCGTCCCGGGCGCAGCCGCTCGGACCCCGGCCCGGGACTCCCCGTGAGAACCCGCAGACGGAGCGGGAGGAACCCCGGGGGTCGGGAGCCACCAGCCGGGGCCACTTCCTTTTGCTTTCGAAACTTTATTGATTGATTGTTTGAGTGACATGGACACGGTCCAGACGACCGTGTGGTGGGGGTGGACAGCACAGTGGTCAGCCAACCCGCGGCTCTCGGGAGAGCCCCCTGGTGGGGCCAGTCGCCCCTCGGGGGCCCTCGGCGTCCTCGGGAGGAGTCCACCGGAGTGTGAGTCATGGTGACATGTAGCCCTAACGTCGGTTCAGGGTGTGTGTGGGGGGTGAGCGTCGAGGGCTCGCGTACAGAAGCAAGCGGCGCGGCAGCGGACGGGGCTGGGGCGGGGGCGCGTCACAGTTTTCACCACGGAAGCGTAGACACGTTGGCGGCAGGGGCAGCGGGCCGCGGGCGAGGCGTGGGCAGGGATCGAACACACAGGCCGAGGGCCGGATCTGTCCTCGCACCTCTCTCTGCTCTGACCTCTTTCCTGCCTTCCTCCGGGGTCGATTGGCGGGGGCTTCGGCGGGGGAGCGGGGAGTGTGTCTACCCCCCACCCCCGGGGCCTCCCTCCCCGGAAAAAGAACTAATTTTTTAGCGGTATTTCTTTTGTTAATTACTTTTTTTTCCCTCTGTGGATCTAACATCGGCTGGATGTATTCAATTTGGCCAAATAGATAGTTGCCTAATTCTATGGATCGCAGTGAGGCTCATGCACAACCTGTTTTTTTTGTTTTTGTTTTAGTTTCCGAATAGTAAGAATTATCAAAGGCAATTTGTTTTTTTGTACAGGAATGAAAGCTCAGTTTCCTTTGGATCAGGAAAATGAGAATGTGCCCTTTGATTTTTTTCTTTTTTTTTCTTTTTGGTGTGTGTGTATTTGTGTGTGTGTGTGTGTAAGAATTTTGGTCAAGTCACTGCCGTGAGCAGTGCCTCGAAATAGCTCTTTGCTGGGGGAATTCCGTGGGAATGACGCTGCTGGGACGTATGGAAACGTTTGCATTGTCAGGTCACCGTCGGAACAGGGAGGGGAAGAAAAAAATAAATAGACTTTTCTCTCTGTAATAAATAGACGTCTCTCTTTCTTTGTAATAAATAGACTTCTCTCTCTCTCTTTAATAAATAGACTTCTCTCTATTTGTAATAAATAGACTTCTCTCTCTCTGTAATAAATAGACTTCTCTCTCTCTCTCTCTGTAAACGGTCGGCGTCGGGCGCGACTCCTGTGGTCGGGGCGGCCCGGCTTCCTAAGAAAGGTCTCCGTTTCGCGCATCGGTGTGACATCTCCGAAACATCTGACCATTGTGTGTGTGCAAACACCGAGCAGCAGAACAGCGCTCCTGTACGCGTGTGGACGTGCAGTGTTCCTGAAATGGTTGTCCTAGGATGGGGTGTCCCTCTGAGCTAGCCCTTCTGGGGAACCATTCCTCGGAAACCATGGCTCTCTGGGGGGGGGGGGGGGGCGGGCGTGGGGGCGGGGCGGGCGGGGCGGGGGCCACTCTACTGATTCTCCACCCGCATGTTAGCGCACCAGTAGTGGATGTTGTAGAAGAGGTAGGCGAGAGGGAAGAGCATGCGGCACACGATGTCGATCTCACTGACGCTGTTGTAGAGCCTGGCCTGCTGGGACTCCACGTCCTGCTCCTGCCCCTGCCCCTGCCCCTGCCCCTGCCCCTGCCCGCCCCGGGGTGCGTTCTGCTCCTCCTGGCCCTGGCCCTGGCGGCGCTGGCGCTGGCGGCGGAGGCGGCCCAGGTCCTGCATCTCGATCTCCTCGGGGCCCTCGGCGGCCTGGCGCAGCCGCCTCCTCCCCCTCCTCCTCCGGGCCGGGTTGTCCCGCCGGGCCGGGCCCCGCGGCCGCCTCTCCCGCCTCTGCAAGGAGAGAAGGAGAGGGGGCGTCAGGGCCGGCCGCCGGGCTGGTGGCGTGGGGTTCGAGGGCGGGCCGCGGGGCTGGTGGCGGGCCCTGTCTTACGTGGACCCCTCGTGGCGCGGGGCTGGCGTGCGGGGGACACGCTGTCCTTGCGATGTACCTCGAAAGGCACCGGAAAATAAGATGGACTGAAGCTGGTGGGTGGATGGATGATTAGTAGATATAGATAGATAGATGATAGATAGATGATAGATAGATGATAGATAGATAGATGATAGATAGATGATAGATAGATGATAGATAGATGATAGATAGATAGATGATAGATAGATAGATAGATAGATGATAGATAGATGATAGATAGATGATAGATAGATGATAGATAGATGATAGATAGATGATAGATAGATAGATGATAGATAGATGATAGAGATAGATAGATGATAGATAGAGAGATGATAGAAAGATTGATGATAGATTGATAGGTGATAGTTTGATAGATGATAGATATTGAGATGATAGATAGATAGATAAAGATAGATGATAGATAGGTAGATAGATAGATGACAGATAGATGAATGAATGATAGATAGATAGATGATAGATAGATAGATGATAGAAAGATGATAGATAGAGAGATGATAGAAAGATTGATGATAGATTGATAGGTGATAGGTTGATAGATGATAGATATTGAGATGATAGATAGATAGATAGATAGATATAGATAGATGATAGATAGGTAGATAGATAGATGGCCCGGCCAGCGTGTCTCAGGGGTTGAGCATCCACCTAAGAACCAGGAGGTCAGGGTTCCATTCCCGTCAGGGCCCAGGCCCAGGCTGTGGGCTCCGTCCCCAGCAGGGGGCGTGCAGGAGGCAGCGGGTCCGATTCCCTCTCACCATTGATGCTTCTCTCTCTCTCCCTCTCCCTTCCTCTCTGACCTCAACTCCGAATGCACGTGTGTGCGTGCGTGCGTGTGTGTGTGTGTGTGTGTGTGTGTGTGGAGAAGGGGGGCGGGGGCGGGGGCGGGGGGCGCACCCGGTACAGCTGGGGCTCCTGCGGCCAGGTCCGCTTGGTGAAGTGGGTGACGGCGGCGAACATCAGGACGGCCATGAGGACGAAGCCGAGGGACACGCTCATGAACCAGTCCAGGGAGGTGGCGTAGGGCACGTTGGGCAGTGCGGAGCGGGCCATCATGCACAGGCCGGACATGATCAGCATGGTGGTCACACCTGCGGGGGGGCGGGGGGCGGTCAGGGCCGGCTGGCCGGCCGGCCGGACGACCTTCCGGACAAAGCCTACACCCCCCCCTGCACCCCGCCCTGCACCCCTGCGCCCTGTGCCCCCGCCCTGCTCCCCGCCCTGCGCCCCCACCCTGCACCCCGCCCTGCGCCCCCGCCCTGCACCCAGCGCCCTGGGCCTCGGCCGGGGACCCACCGCACATGGTGCGGGCCGGGATGGACTCGCGGTTCAGCCAGAAGGTCAGCTGGGACGCGGCCACGGTGATGATGGCCGGCCCGTAGTTCTGCAGGAGGAAGGAGTGCAGGCCCCTCGCCAGCTGGAAGTTCGCCGTCATCACCGAGACGTTGCCTGCGCAGACGGGAGGGGCGTCAGCCAGCCGGCCGATGCTCCCCCCCCCGCCCCCTCGGACACGGCTTCCTCTCAGGAAGGGAGAGGGAGAGGGAGAGGGAGAGACATCCGTGCGAGAGAGAACCACGGACCGGCCGCCTCCCGCCTGCCCCCGCTGGGGATGGAGCCACTGCCAGGCCTGTGCCCTGATGGGGACTCGAACCGGGACCTCCTGGTTCCCAGGCCGGGCCGCGTGTGTCCCTGGTCATGTGACGCCCCTGAGCCCTCCCTGGCGTCGCCTCCGGGGAAACCGGATTTCTGCCGCTAATCCTGGCCAGCTGTGCCCTCGCCCGCACCGAGGCCTGGGCCTCTGCGGACAGACGGGGCCCCTCCCCGGAGCCCGGAGCGGGGGCAGGCGGCTCCGGGGAACGGGTGCCCGCCCCCCGCCCGGCCATGCCCCCGGCCATGCCCCCCGGCTGCTCTGGGTGCTCCTGGCCGTGTGCGGAGAGCGAGGCGGCGCTGACGGTGGACTGGGGAGAGCCGGGCGGGGCCGGTCTGCGGGCCGGGTTCCCCACCCCCGGGGAAGGCGCTTCGAGACGAGAGGCCGAGCTGAGGGGCCGGGGTTACACACGAGGGGTCTCGGGCGGAACGGGGCGGGCAGGGGAGAGGGCGGGCCCCGGCCTGCGTGGCTCAGCGGCTGCGCCGGCCTGGGAACCGCGAGGTCAGGGCACAGGCCTGGGCTGGAGGCGGCCGACCGCGGTTCTCTCTCCTCGCCGTGTTCCTCTCTCGCTCGCCCTCTCCCCTCCTCTCTCTGGGGGCAGGGCTCAGGCCGCCCTCAGGGCCCCTGCCTCCGGTTCCCCTTTGCCCCGGGGCTCACCGTAGGCCCGCTCGCTCTCGGTCCGGTTGGTCCAGTTGCCCGTCAGGATGTACTGGGACATCTGGGCGGCGTCCTTGGCCACGGCCAGCCCGGGCTCGTGCGGCTTGTTGGTCCACACGAAGTTGACTTCGTCGGTCGGATGCCCGTCTGCGGGGGGAGCGGGCGACCTCGGACCCCTCCTGGGGCCGAGGAGCCTTCCCCCGAGGAGTCGAACCCACGGCCCCTCCGGAGGGACAGCTGGGGCCCTCACCGCCGCCATCCCAGCCCCCACCCCTGGCCGGCCCGGGGGCCGGTCCCTGTCCGCCGTCACCCCCGCGCCCGGCCCTCCCCCCTCCTCCCGCAGACCCGCAGAAACACGCTTAGGACACGCGAGCGCGCACTCACAGCTGCTGAAGATCAGGGGGCAGGTGTGGACGTCCATGGGGTAGTCCTGGAACTTCAGGTTGCAGTCCGCGGTGAGGCTCACCCTGGGATGGGAGATGGGGGGGGGGCCCGCGTGAGAGCGCCCTCTGGGGGGCATGGAGCAGGGGGGCGGCCGGCGGCCACCTCCCAGCGCCCTGCGCCCCGGGAGAGGTCTCCCCCGCTCGGCATGGCCCCCGCCTGCCCTGGCCTTTCCGGGAACAACATCACAAGGAGGGGTCTGGCCCCACCGCAGGCCCCAGCCGGCAGAGGAGGCCGGGGGCCGCTGGGCAGATGCCCGCTCAGCTGGCCCGGCCCCGGCCCCATGTGTCCGCTGGGGACCTCAGGACCCAGCGTGTGCGCGGCTGCCTGCCCGTGACCAAAGGCGGAGGGTCCGATGCTCTCGCACGCACATTAGGACCCGGCTGCGCGTGGGAAACCAGCGTCACGCGTCGCCCAAACCCGGGGGCCAGGTAGGCCTGTCCCTGCAGGTGAGCTCCTGGCCCTGCCTGCCACCTGCCGTCAGCTGACTCCTGCGCATCAGCGAGGCTCTGCCGCCATCTCGTGGCCACTCGGAATAACTACACTGCCACCCGCAGTCAGCTGACTCCTGCGCATCAGCGATGCTCTGCCGCCATCTCGTGGCCACTCGGAATAACTACACTGCCACCCGCAGTCAGCTGACTAGTTCCTAGTTAAAAGCTGTGCTAGTTCCTAGTTAAAAGCTTCTAGTTGCATGTAGGTAATGTGTTTCCAGTACTGCCCCGGAATAAAACGTGTGGGACCCATGTATCATGTCCTTCAGGCTCCTGTGTGGAGCTACCTGTGTGGAGCCACCTGCCAGTCACACTGGCACGGAAGGACGCTCTCAGCACCATTTGCGCAATTCCCGTGCAAACGTGATCCTTTGCTGCCCTCCTGTGGCCGTTTTGAGGAATAACACGCGGCGTCTCTGTCCGCGGTGCTGAAGCGCCAGGCGGACCTCCCTGGCTCAAATGCTCGCCTTCCTCATTGTCCCTGATGGAGGGGCGCCCCTGTCACCATGGACCTCAGGAGGCTCAGGGGCACTGGCCCCGCAGCCGCCCCCCTGGAGGGCGCGGAGGAGAGGGAGGGTGGTCCGGTCGCCACCTCCCAGCTGCCCTGCTCTCCTAGTGGCATGCCCCCTACTGCCCGGGCTTTTCAGGGCGCTGGCAGGGAAACTGTCTGCCATGCGACCCTCACCAAAAATTCTACCCAGAAATTAAAACAAACAGCCCTGAGCCCTGCCCCAGGGCCGGCAAAGGAAGGCCTCGAAACTGGGGGGGCAGATCCCCCTAAGGTGACCCCGCTATCCTGCCTGAGAAGTCCGTTGGTTCCGTGTGCTTATTTACCGTAACATGCTATCTCATTCATATATATATATATTAATCCTCATCTAAGAATCCCCCCCATGGATTTAAAGTGGAAGAGAGAGGGAAAGACACAGAGAAATATCGATGTGAGAGAAACACATCCATCTGGCTGCCTCCTGCATGTGCCCCGACCAGAGCCTGGGCTGGGGGAGGAGCCTGACACTGAGGTACATGCCCTTGACCGGAATCGAACCCGGGACCCTTGGGTCTGCGGGGCCCGATGCTCCCTATCCACTGAGCCACACAGGCAGGGCTGTGTTGGCGCTGTTTGTTAACTGGACGGCCGGGGTGTGACTGTCTGGCAATACACACAGGGAGAGGGGTATACGCACACGCTACCAGCGCCTCCTTCCGGCGGCACGGGGAGAGTTTGTCTTAGATCCCACAGGCGGAACCCGCACGCCCTCCCCTTCGAGGCCGAGTGTACTGCCCACGCCTATGGATCTGCGTCCTCTTTACAGGAGACGTCGGGGGACTGCTGCCCTCCCGTGGCCATTCAGGGAATAGCACTCTGCGTCTCTGTCCGTCGAAGGACTGCTGCTGCCCTCCAGTGGCCATTTTAAGGAACTGCACCCTGTGGCTCTGTCCGCGGTGCTGAAGTCCTAGCGAAAGCCCCGTGAAAGCCCCCAAAGCGTCCGACCCCAAATAAAAACCCCACACCACCAGCCAGGCAGGCCGCAATCCTTCCGTCACGACTCTGGAGGCTGAACCTCCCTCCCCCGCCCCACCCCAGCCCTGAAAAGAGACGCCCAGACACTGCGTGGCTGAGGTTCCCTCGAGCCCAGCGGTTCCCAGTGTGGGGCACACGCCTACGGGGGGGGGGGGCAGTCTGATGTTTGGGGGGGCCATTCAGAGTGAATGCTCTGCATGTCTTATGGTTCGAGGGGCCTCGTGTGTGGTCTGTAAGTCTATTCAGTGACGTAGTGATGCGTCTCCGTTCTGTATTACTATTTGGAACATTATCTGCTATTTTCCGTCACCCTTCATGTTTTTTTAATTTTTTTTTTTTAAAAAAACAATTCCTTAGGGATTCCTTCCTCAGTCTCATCCCCTGTCCTTCTCTCTCACGGACGCCATGTTTCTTGGGAAGCTGTTGAGGCCAAGTTCGCGGCCTCTTAGGATGGGAGTGCACTTGGTGAATAATAATAATAATAATTCTGTGTCATGGGGGCGGGCGGGCTGGACTGGGGTGTTAGAGGTGCTGAGGTGGGTGGGGCGTGGCCAGGAGCAAGCTGGGAACCACTGTGCTCAGGTGACCCTGCCACCTACCCCATGCCCCCGCCCCACTGCCCATGCCCACCCCACGCGGCACCCCATCTCCCTCCCACCGTGTGCCTTGACCTGACAGCCCCCTCCCTGAGCCGGCCCTCCCCAGGAGGACTCTGCACGCTCCGTCCACCCGCCCCAGGCCCGGGCTCACCGCATGGTGTAGACCAGCGTGCCGTCCTGCTCCAGCCGCAGCAGCCGGTTGGGCGTGGCCTCGCCCTGCAGGGAGGCCTTCCGGCTGTTGTGGAAGTACACGTCGGGGGTCCAGACCCTGTCCACCACCTTGCTGCTGAAGGTCAGGCGCTTCATGGGGCCCCTGAAGCGGAGCCGAGGGTCCTTCCAGCTTTGGCGGAAGAACATGTCCAGGCTGTACTCCTGCGCGGGCGGGAGGGAGGGGGAGGCCGGGGTGAGGGCGCGGCTGGGGGCGGGCGCCCCTGGGGCCTGGGCTGGGGACGGGGGAGAGGGACCCAACCCCGCACCTACCATGCTCGCGTCGAACACCGGGCCGAAGCTGTTCACGTAAATGTCCGTCTCCACCACGGTGGGCTTCCCTGGAACGGACGGTCCCCAGGCTCAGGGCCCCCCACTGGCCCAGTGCTCCCCTCCCCCCAGCCTCTCCAACATCCTGGTGCCTCTACCCCCTCCTGGAACATAGCGTTCTCGTTATTCACAACGCGAACCCCTAGGAACCAGGAGGTCAGGGTCCCATTCACTATTCGCAGTCGAGGCCCAGGCCCGGAGGGTCAGTGCAGGACGGGGGAGAGGGGGTGCGTACGGGAGGCAGCGGTCCATGGTTCTCTCTCCCTCCCTCTCCCTTCTTCTCTGACACCGGTTAAAAAAACCCCATATAAATATAAATATAAATTTTTAAAAATATGTGTATATATATATATATATACACATATTTTTAAAAAGAAAGATGTGGGGAAGGAGGGAGCTCCTTGCATCTGGAAGATGGTGCTGAAGGAGGCAGGAGCCTTGGCGGCGTTGGAAGGGGGTGGGGCTCAGGGAAGGGGGCGGGGCTCAGGGAAGGGGCGGGGCTCAAGGAAGGGGGCGGGGGCTTCTGGGGGGGAGGCGGAGCTGGAGACGGGGTGCCGGCCACGCCCCCCAGCCTCTCACCACTCGCGAAGGTGGGGTACAGCCTCTTGTCATAGCCGTCCAGCAGCTGGTCCAGGAGGTAGGTGAAGAATCTGGGGTCCTCATACTCCTCGACCTCGTACTCCTCGTCCTCGTACTCCTCGTCCTCGAACGACAGGTCCGAGTCGGGGCCCTTCTGGCCGGAGTCAGGACCCTCCTTGCCGGAGGTGGGGGCCTCTTGGGGGGAGCTGTGGACACAGACACAGAAAGGGTTTCGGCTCCTGGTCGTGATTCCTTTCTTCTTCTTCATCTTCTTCTTCATCTTTTTCTTCATCTTCTTCTTCTTTAAATTTATTTTTACCGCCGGGCCGGCGGGCGGGGCTCTGTGGTGGAGCCTGGACCTAGGAACCAGGAGGTCACAGGTTTGATTCTCCGTCAGGGCACTCGGGCTTGATCCCCAGGAGGGGGCGTGCAGGGGGCAGCCGATCCGTGATTCTCTCTCATCATGACTATTTCTCCCTCCCCCCGTCTCTCTTTGTGTCTTCCCCTCCCTTCCACTCTCTCTCTCTTAAAAAAAAAAATCAATCAATAGGAAAATATTCTCAGACGAGGATTAATAAAACAATACCAGACCCGTATCCCAGCCACGGAGAGAGAGGAGGGCCCCTCCCCGGTCACGTCGGGGGCCCTCGGCCAGGGATCCGACCCGCACAGCCTTTGGGAGCCAGGGCCGGCGCTCTGACCACTGGGCCACGCTGGCCGGGGCTTATCACTGTGTTTTTAAAGGGGGCACGTTCCACAGGGACGTCCTGGTTTCTGAGGGAAGGAGAAGAACAATTAAAAACAAAAAACACCGCCTTCTGAGCCACAATCAGGGATGTGTCTCTCCGAGCCGCTCCCCCCGCCCCCGCCCTCCGCGGACGGCAGCCACGTCTGATTTCCGTAATTGGGATCAATAACGGCCATGCCGGCCCCGGGGTCGCGCGCACTTAACTTGGGGGACGCGGCTGGGACTGGCGGCGAGTGGCGGCGGGTCTGTCTCCCTCAGAGGCACGTCTCCCTGGTCCTCTGTCCCCCCTCCAGCCCCCCAGCCCCCCGACATCTAATTAATTCTGAGAAACGCATCTCCCGGCGACTCGTTTGTTCCTTTAAACGCATTATGTGAGCACCTGCAAAGGGCGCCGGCTCCGTGAGCCTCAGAATGTCCGTGAGAGCCCACCTTATGTAAGAGGGCCTGGGTTCGACTCCCCAGTAAGGGGGGCACGGAACCTCTGTGCAGGCTCGATCCCTGGAACCCGAGTTGGGGCATGTGCAGGGGCAGCCAACCTCCCTCTCTCTCTCTCTCTCTCTCTCTCTCTCCCCCCCCCCTCCCCACTCTCTCTGAAAATTAAGAAAAAATCTCCTTGGGTGAGGATTCCATGGCTGCTCTTTTGCTCACCTCCACCTGCTCTTCCCCATACAAGGTCGTGCGGCCTACCCTCTGTGACCCGACCCTTCCCCCTTCCCATCACCCTCTGATTATTCCTCCTATCCGTCTCCCCGTTCCTCACCCCCAGGCCTAGCAACACCCCCTGCCCCCCAAGGCGACTGGCTGTACGCAGTGCGCCCTCTCCCTCCCTCTGTCCCTCTGTCCCTCCCTCCTCCCTTCCCTCCTCCCCTCCCTCCCTCCGTCCCTCCGTCCCTCCGTCCCTCCTCCCCTCCCTCCCTCCCTCTCTCCCTCCCTCCCTCCCTCCCTCCCTCTCTCCCTCCTCTCTCCCTCCTCCCTTCCCTCCTCCCCTCCCTCCCTCCCTCTCTCTCTCCCTCCCTCCCTACCTCCCTCCCTTTCTCCCTCCGTCCCTCCCTCCCTCCCTCCCTCCCTTTCTCCCTCTGTCCCTCCCTCCCTCCCTCCCTCCCTTTCTCCCTCTGTCCCTCCCTCCTCCCCTCCGTCCCTCCCTCTGACCCTCTCAGGCCTGGATTCAGCGTTTCCTCTGCCTATGGCCACAAGCCCTTTCACCTGCCTGGGCCACCGTGTCTGTTATGGGCCCCACAAGGAGGCCGGGAGCCGAGGGGCAGGTGTGTGAAACCCCTCGGGGCCCGAGTTCATTGTGGAGCTGTGTGTGGTGCGTGACTGCCGGGCGGGGGCAGGAGGAGAGGCAGCGCGTGGCTTTTCATAACAGCCACCCGAGTGTGAATCACGTATTTCAGGGGTTTGTGGTGACAAAGGGCCGGGCGCGGGAGAGAAGAGTCGCTCCAAATTGAAGGTGAAGTCGCATAAATATGCATTAAAGTGTGCATGAAAGAGCGTGCAGAGAGGCGGGAGGGAGAGACACTGAGTGGGAGGGTGCCTATGGCTCCCATGTGTGTCTCTCTGTGTGTGTGTTACTGTGTGTGTTTGTGTGTGTGGTGTGTGTTATGTGTATGTTGTGCGTGTTGTGTTGTGTGTATGTGTTGTTATGTATGTTGTGAATTGTGTGTATGTGTGTTGTCGCTCTGTGTTGTGTGTGTTTGTGTGTTGTGTGTATGTTATTATGTGTGCACTATGTGTTGTTGTATGCTGTTGTGTCCATGTGTGTTATTGTGTGTTATTGTGTTACTGTGTCAGTGTGTGTTGTGTCCATGTGTGTTATTGTATGTGCTGCATGTGTTATTGTGTGTTGTGTGCTACTGTGTGCTATTGTGTGTGCATGTGTGTGTTATTATGAGTGTTATTGTGTGTGTTATTATGTGTGTGCACTGTGTGTTGTTGTGTGCACTGTGTGTGTCTGTCTGTGTTGCTCGTGCACACACAGGAGCTATTGTTTCCAGAGGGACGGCTGCTCTGACCCCTCGAACCCAGGCCTCTCTCTCTCTCTCTCTGGGGGAGGCGGGAGGGGCGATGTACCGCCTCAGTTCGTGGAAGCTTCCAGAAAACACACACACGGCCCTCCACGGCGCAGACGGCCTCGGAGGCCGCCCAATTAGCGGAGAGAGAAGGCATTGTGGCTGCTAATGGCCCGGCCCTGCGCGGGCCCATTACGCCCATCTCGGGCCGCTCCCCCTAATAGCCGCCTGCCGCTCTGTGCGCGCGTTCCCGGCTCTGACGTGGCCGCCTGGCCCGTAAACAGCCTGACGAGCCGACGGGGAGACATGAGCGTCAGGTGCGCTCACGTGTGCACACATGTTCCCCCGGGGAGAGGGGGCACAGGGTGGGCGGCGGGCAAAAGAGGCTCCTGTGTGTTTGCCGCAAACCCCGAGGGTGTGGGGGCGGCGGGGGGGGGGGGGTGGAGAGACGCCCGGGCCGCCCGGAGGGGGGCAGAGGGACCACTCACCTGCTGTGGAAGTACAGGAAGAGGACCAGGGAGAGGAGCAGGAAGGCCTTGGTGAAGGGCATCTTCACAGCCATCCTGCCGGACGGAGCGGCGGAGGCGCCCGCAGGACCCCCACGCTGGAGGGACACAGAGGGGGCGCCGTGTGAGCGCCTGCCCGCCTCTCCCGCACCCCCAGGGGCCCCAGAGCCCTGCTGCCCCGCCTCACAAGTGCCCGCCCCGCTGGTCCCATCCTCACCTGTTTCCTGTGCCCGCTGTCTCTGGGGCTCTCTGCCTTTTTAGGGCATTGCCAGCCTCCCCCCCCCCCCCCCTCCCCGCTGTCCTGCCAGCAGGAAGGCGCTGGGCAGGACACAGTGGGGCGGTGCTTACCTGTGTGGAATCAAGGCCGCAGACCAGCCTGGTCCGGCCAGGTGCGGGGAGAAAGCCTGTGCAAAGGGGGAAAAGGAGAAAAGAAAAAAGAAGAGGCGCCGATAAGAAACCAGTCTTCCAGGGGCCGGGAGGCCCCTTTGTCTGACGGTCTCCAGGGAGGAAACGACCTCACAGCGCCCCTGTGTATTTGGGGGGTGGGGGGCTGCCCCTGTGTATTTGGGGGGTGGGGTGGGGGGAGTCTCTCTCTCGGGGTCTGTGCTGGGCGGCCACACACGTATCCGGGACACAGGCAGGCGCGGCCCCCCGGGGCGCTGCAAGTCAAACCCGAGCGAAGGAGGCGCCCCTTTCCCGGCTTCTGCGCAAAGAGCGGGGGGTTGGCACTGCGCCCCGATGCCCCGTCGGGCAGGGCTGCCCTCCCGCGGCCGCCGGGTCGGGGGCAAAATTTGCGCTCCCGGCCGCCGCCGGCTCTGCAGCTCCCCTCGCGGACCCTGAAGGGCCCCCGGCTCAGGGGCGCGGGCAGAACGGGGGGATCGCCGTCCTCGCCGCCTCGCCCGCGCTCCTTACTCCGCGCGCCCACCCCCGGGTCGCGCGCCGTCGGCTCCACGGCGCCTCCTGGTTCTCCTGTGCGCGCGCCAACCGGCCCGCTGCTCCCCCGGGGGCCGAGCGGGTCCCCCCCGGCGTGGGCTCCGGGTCGCCCTGCGGCCCCGCTCCGCGCCCCGGGCCGCGCTCACCTCTCCAAGGGGCGCCCCGTGCAGCGCGGGGCGCTGGGTCCGCGGCGGCGCCGCCAGAGGCCGCCAGACCCTCGCCAAACGCGCCGCGGCCGCGGGAGGGGCGCAGGGGAGCGCAGGGTCCCCCGCTCTGGGGATGGGGATCCGGGACCCGCCAAGTTTCCTTCGTGTGTTTTTTCTCTCTCTCTCCTTTTCCCCACGGCCGGCGTCTCCGAGGAGGGGCTCTGTGGTTGGCACGGGGGCTGCTGTTTGATTTTTATTTTTTTAAATAGATATATTTTTATGTTTACAGAGTTCCTTTCCCACAAGCGGGGGTACCACGGCCCCTCCCTCCCAGGTGTCCAGCCCGGTGATTCACGTTTATGTAACCTGGGACGTGACAGCCCCGGTGGGGCGCTGGGCACGTCGGGGAGACGCGCTATTACGCGCGGTGACGGGCTGTGCCCCCGGCGCCTCCCCCGCTTTCCTCCCCCCACAGGCTGGTTTCATAACGGGGCGCCTGTGCCCCCCCAAACCCCCCCTCCCTTCTGGCAGCCATTTCCCTGCATCTAAGAGGTTGGTGTTTTTTTTTTCTCCCTGTTTTGTGGGTTCATTTATTTGGGGTTTTTCTAGATCCCACATCTGAGTGCCTGTTTTCCTCCCTCTGGCTTCTCTCCCTCAGCCCAGCCGCTCCAGCTCCCCCTGGGCTGTCCCCAAATGGGATTTCATCCTTTTCCCCCTCTTTTTTTAAATTTAATTTTAATTTTTATAAATGGCTGAATAGTATTCCACCATCTTTCTCCAGGGGCTTCCAGATTTGGGGGCTCCTGTCCATGATGCTACCATGAACATAGGAATGCATGTGTATTTTTTTTAATTTTTATTTTTTGGAGAATTAATGCATTTCCTCCAATAAACACCCAGAACCACCATGGCTGGGGTCCTCCTTCGGCTCTGCTTACAGCCTGGGTGGGAAAGTCTGTCTTGTCTGGCCTGAGGATGGAGGATGGGCGCCCCAGCTTTTATTCTCCCCAACCCCCTCCCAATTTGCATAAAATGTCTTTTTTTCCATCCCCTTGATGTTGAGTGTGTGTGTGTGTGTCTCTGCAACGAAAGTGAGAATCCTGAAGGCGGACATCTTGTGTCTGGGTCTTGTTTTCTCATCCATCCATCCCCCCTCCCTCATCCCCACCCCCGTCTCTGGATTGCCGCATTGCATCACCCCCTCACCGCCCCCCTCCCTCTCTCTCTGGCTGCTAAACTGCTCTTGAGGAAGGATGGGAGCCCCCTAGCGGGCAGCTACCTCCTCTTCTCTTGCTGCCCGCCCTGGCCCTTTGGGGTGGGTGCTGATGGGGGCCTCTGGGTCCCCAGGAGGGGGAAGTTGTCAGTTTTTTGTTTTTTGTTTGTTTGTTTTTCCACCAAGTGGGCTCTGTCTCCATCCCTTGCTCTCCATTCTGCGACCCCGGGGGCTGTGAATGCCATTATGAGTTGGGGTCCCCAAAGTCCCTTAGATTAGGCTCGTTTGGGGGGGATTTTGTTTTCTTCTCCTTTTGGTGATTCCTGGCTCACTCCTCGGCTTTGTCTAACCTACGGTTGAATCCTTGCAATGGACTGTTTTTAAAAAAAATTTTAATTTAATTTAATTTAATTTTTTTTTATGCCCTCTCTCTCCACCTCCTCCTAAATGCTCAGAGCATCCCGATGACCTGTGTTCTGAACGCTGCCCCCTGGTGAAGGACGTGTCTCCATCGTGTTTGCTTGTTTTTTCCTGGGGGTCTGCCCTGCTCCTCCCTCGTCTCTGCCTCCCTGGCTTAGGCCTTGGTGCAGAGGCATGACGTAGGAGCGCCCCTCCCTGCGCTGGCCACGGCCCCCCCAGGAGCAGGGATAGAAAGAGGGGGGCCGCTGTGGCAGCCGACGTCAATGCTCCTCCTCTAGGGCCAGGCAGGGCCCCTCCCTCACCTGGCCACGTCATTGCCGCCTCCTCCTCCTCCTCCGCAGCGCCCCCCGGCCCCCCTCCCTTGTCTGCATCGCCTCTGCAGTCAAAAAGGACCCGCTCCCGTGACTCTGCAAATCTCTGCGACGGGAGGGGTGCAATTAGCTTAGCATCCCACATGGACTTAATTGAAGAGTACATCCAGGGGCTCCTAAAGAGCCCTTCTTTCTTTAAATGCATTTTTTACTGACATCAGAGAGGAAGGGAGGGGGAGGGAGGAAAAGAAGGAGGGAGGGGGGAAGAGAGAGACACACACACGTCACCGGCGAGAGAACATCATCCATCAGCTGCCTCCTGCAGCCCCCTCACCCCCACCCCCGCCCCCCTCCCCTGGGGACTGAGCCCCCAACCCCAGCATGTGCCCCGGCTGGGAATCCAACCGTGACCTCCTGGCTGAGGGGTCGATGCGACGCTCTACGCACTGGCTGGGCAAAGGGGCCTTTTTTTCTTTTTTTTTTTAAATAAGAAAATGCCCGTCAACAACAAGTGGTGGTGGGGTCAGCTGATCTGGGAGCCCTCCCTCGGCAGCCCCCCCCCCCCCCCACACACACAAGGGGCTTCATCTCGGGGTGACGCCTGGCTCGGGTGCAGCCCCTAAGGGGTGCGCACAGGCCTGGGGCAGAGGGGCGGAGGGAGGGCCCTTTGCAGGCGGCACCTGTAAAAGGCCGGGTGGCTCAGTCGGGCACAGCGTCAGCCCCTACGTCACACTGCAGAGCTCTGTCTGGTCACGACACAGAGCAGCCGCAGTGAATGCACAACTGGGGGGGGGGGCAACAGCCATGTTTTTTCCCCTCTCTCTCCCTCAGATATTAATAATAATAATAATAAAATAAATCCCGAGCAACCTGTTGGGGCCTTTGCAAATCCCAAATCACCCTGAGATCCCCCCCCCCCCCCAACAGGGAGAAACTGGGAATTCGTGCCAGGAATTCTAGGAACAGGACGCAGACAACAAACGGCACACCTCTGCAGGGGTGCCGCTGCAAAGAGACCCTTAGGCACAGGGCTCTGATCGGCACCTGGAAACGCAGCCCAGACCCCAGGGCTGGCGTGGGAAGGAGGTTAGAAAGCTCCTGGGGAGGGTTTCCCAGCTCCAACACATGCATTTCTCCCTTTCCCAGTTCCTCAAGCCGGAGACCACTCAGATTAAGCTTTAAAAAAAACACACCGTTCCACTAAAAAAACACACAACCACAATCCCACAAGACAATATCCAGGGGGATGCATTATAGAACTGCAATCCCCTTCCGTCTATACAATCCTGTTTACCTCACGAATGCAACTGGAAAAAAAAAAATGAAACCCGATGTGAAAACCACGCAGAATCAACACCAGGCATTTTATCAGCAAACATCCCTTTTACCTCGAGGTGTGAGCACCCCCGGCCGGCGCCGGCGAGCTCCGAGCTCGCGGCACACTGAGCGGCGTGAGGAGATGCAGAATGCGTCGAGTCCAGATACGCAGCGAGCGTGAAGCTCTGCCGCGGACCCCGCTAAGTTCTTGGGGAAAAAAAAAAAAATGGAAATGCAGAGGAGAGAAGCCAGGCGCCAGGCCTGCCTGCGAGCGAGGGGCAGCAGGTGCCTGGGTGGCCTCCGGCGCGGGGCGGCTGGCTCATGGGGATGGGGTGGGATGGGATGGGATGGAATGGGTGACGAGGCGGAGACACTCACCTCCTCCCCGGGCTGGAGCGGTGACCGAGCTCCCCTCTCCGGCACCGGCACCGGGAGGCAGGCGGCCCCGAGTCCCAGGCCTGGAGGACCTGGGCGCTCGCGAGCCAGGGAGCTGTGCCCAGTCTGCCAGAAACTCCCCGTCTAGGAAGCTATGTATTACCCTGTTGGCAACTGTGCGCCAATGAAAAGTGGGGTTCCCCCCCGCCGAGAGATGACGGCCTGACAGCTGAGCTCCCATTGGCTCGGTTTCTAGAGTGACATCGGGCAAGAGCAGAGGAGAGTGAGCATGGAAGGCAGCAGGGGGCACCCCAGGCCCGCAGAACCCCGATGCTGTTGGA